ATGGCTCGCTTTTTGTTAAATTTCAGTTTTGTATCTGAGTGTCCGCTTTTGGGTCCACACCACAAACACATGATCTGAGTCTGCAAATCTTCCCATATGGAAAAGAAATAGTAAAAACTTATATGATTTACTCGTGAAAGTGGCCACTTTCTCATTACTTTCATATATTGTTCCAGGAAGTATCCAAAACATACAAGTTTCATTATATAATTTTTCAAGGGATCTTATATCTGTTTTCACTCTTGTATGCTTTTCATACAAGTTTCACACAAGATAGTTACAAACTTTATAAGATTTATATATATCTTTTCCATATGGGTTTACAGAGAGGCCAAAACACAGAATTACAGCAACATGTAAATTAGTGAACATTTGGTAACTAATTTGATAGTATTTACATATATAAAAGAATTTGAGATATGCATGAAAAAAAAATCATAATTATTGTTGTTTCATTGTTGGTCTAACATATAATATAATATAAAGTTAGCACAAAAACTAAGGAAATTTGTTTGGTCAGTTATTTCTTTGTTCTAATTATGGTTTCTGGAAATAAATCTTTTATTACTGGAAAGCTTATTTCCCCATGGTGCCATATTTGTAAGGAATATGTGCATTTGTGGGTTGAGAGTAGAATTGAGTGGGTTGTCCTCATGAAAAATTTGCCAAAACTTCTCTGCCAATGCCAAACTTGCAAAGTTTATTTCAATAAATGAATTGTTTTAAATTTATACAATTATTATAAAAACATATAAAATAATTATTCTATTAAACCTGTTTTGAGCTTCTGGTACCCCAGGTGCTGACAATTAGGATTAAGCAGTACCTGCTCTAGCAGTTAGTTGATGTCTGCTCCAAGCATGCCACGTTTGACTGATCTGGACAGGGCCCATGCCACAGGGCAACTTTAATCTGGTGTTCGATAAAACAAAGTTGCAGTATCATTTGGATGAGTCCTAGCATCATATTCAGAGTGGCATCTAAGTTCCATATAAACCAAACTACCAACCTTCCGATTAGTAGGTGACCTGCTCTACCACCTGAGCTACAGCACTGGGAAAAAAAGAGTGCCACATTGGAGGCAATTTCAATGCAAAGAGATACTGAGATAAGATCCTGCAAACAGTTGCAATGATGTATCTCTACCTGTCATGATCCTGGGTTTTGTAAACAGCATTTTCAGCTTTGGACTCTCAGTCTTCTATTTGATGGTAAATGGACTGGTTCTTATACAGTGCTTTTCTACTCAAACTGAGCCCTCAAAGTGCTTTACACAAATTGCCTCATTCACACCCTTCACACAAGCACTTTTTGCTTACCCTATTTAAGTGATATCTAATATTCACACACATTCATGCTCTGATGGATGCATAAAGTTTACATACTTTAAGTTTAAACACTTTAATATGTTTTACTTTACTTACTGTTTTACTAATTACTCTGGACATTTATTGAAAGAAACCTTAAACGAATGAAGTCCAAAGTGGTAATTCCATAAGCATCTGTGGAGAAATTTTTAAGTAAATGTTTAGATTATTCACTTGGTCCTTCTGTCACTTTTGTTCCTTTTTTTTAATGAAGGAGATTATT